GTTTCTATACCTCCATAAAAGATTTACATCTGTACATCTAACAATATTATTTAAAATACCTTGGTGGGATGTGATGGTCTCCATCCTGAATGTGAAGCTGCTAATGTTAGTTCACTTGTAGACGTTGTGTCTTAGGGCCTTTGCAGACTGCTAGAAATAGTGCAAATTGAGTCCACTTTAAGGGTTAGGGTTAGGAAATCATAGGAACTGTATTTTATTGTGGCACCAGAGCTCTCTGACAGAGAAGGCTCAATGTATCAGGAAAAAAAAACAATTCCCATGATTCCCTAGCACTAACCCTAACCCTTAAAGTGGACTCAATTTGCACTATTTCTGGCAGTCTGCAAAGGCCCTTAGATGTCTATTGGTAAGTCTTTTTCGGCGTGCGTCATCTAAAGACCATGCCTTCAGGTCAACCCCAAAACAACCCTTTTAGCCCGTGTGCATCCCCCCTTTCTTTCTCATTTTAAAGCTGATATCATTCTAGCTGCTACTATTGTTAACAGATGTGTGAAATTTGTGTCAGATCTAGCTACCATTGATATATTTGAGCTGAGTGGGTAGAGGTGACTTGTTTGTGAAATACACAAATATGTTGGCAGTCTTTAAAACTTCTGGGAAAAACTAAAGAGCTAATTTCCCCCCGCTTTTAAGGCTGCATGGAGCTTGCTTTAACTCTCTTTGGGCAGCAGTGTTGTGACTTTTGAATGGTACGTTGCTCAGTTTGGCTTGTGGAGGCTTGCATCTGGCTAGATTTGTCCAGGCTGGCTCAGAATACTGGTGGGATGTAAAGTTCTCCAAACAAACCCTGAGCTACTGGTGTTGGCTTCTTTATACATCTCATTTTAAGCTAATGTCTTCTGGTTCCATTTGTTCTCTATAACGTAAGTGAAAGAACTTTGTGTCAACTGAGGTGTTCCGTTGGCTACTAAAGTATAGTACTGACCTTTGGAAAAATTTGAATTGAATCATTAGGGGTGTGTTAATGCTGAACCTCCTTGGCGTGTCTCTTGAATAAAGTGGTAAGTCAAAATAGGGGGAAAGCAATAATAGTAAGTTGACATTAGTAAGGCCACAGGTGGGGAAACAGAGAATCACTTGCATTCCTCTTTGTCAGTTTATTAAAAAAAATGATATTTTTGAAGATTTTTATCACCCCAAACGACATGATGTGTTTTAGTACCACACTAGATCAATTCTATTTTAATGTCTACCTTTGCATGTATTTAACCGTATTGGTGGTGTTGTTGGGGTTTTTTTTTAATTTGTAAGGCTCTTTGTATCCCATCTTGTGGGGAAAAGCCGATATTATTAATGACGACAACAACAACAACAACATAATAATAATAATAATAAGTACTGAGCTTAGCCTCAAAGGTTCCAGTGTCAGAAGAAATTTCAAGATCAATATGTTCTTGACTGGTTTCAGGTCAATCAGCTTAATGAACTCAGAGGTCATTGGTAATGGACCAGGTCTTGTGTTCATCAGTACCTACTGTGCCTTCTGCTCCTTGGGCATAGGTCACTGCCCTGCTGCCTCTAGCAAGAAGGGGCAGGTTTTTATTCAGTCATCCAGCTCCGAACTGAATAGAGGTAGAGGCTTTTCAGTCTAAGGAAGGCAGGTGGGCACACTCAGCGTTGATCCATAGAAAATGCCATTGTTTGACTATTCTAGGCTGATGCTTTTATTCCTCAACTTGCACAGGCGTTTAGGTCACCAATAACCAGACTTGTGTGACAGTGATTTCAGTAGGAGAAGATACTTCCGATTTCCTCCTTGTTTCTTGATAACCAGAAGACTGTGGCAAAAATAGGCTAAACCACAATGCAAGAAGCCTTGTGGCTTAGCCTATTAAAGCTGCACAGCCTGTTCCTGACTGTTCCTCCAAGGTCATGGCTGCTTCAATCACCCTTCAGCAGTAGGCTTGGATATATTCCACAGAGCTAACAGAAGAGATGATCAGAAATACATAATCTCCCCTTTGATGGTGATGCCAGGGACCATCTCTTCATGGCATGTTTGACTTACAGGAAAGTAGGTTTGTATGTCCAGGCCCAGCCTTTATGACCATGGAGATCTCATGGAAGCAGCCTTCTTTCTCTTGTGTGTGTGATTTTGTGTCTGTGCCTTCAAGTTGGCTATTGGTTTATGGCAACTCTATGAGGTTTTCTTAGTCAAGGAATAGTCAAAGATGTTTTTGCCAGTTCTTTCCTCTGAAATATAGCCCACAGAAAGATACCACATATTTATTTTTGGGTTAATCAAGTATATTCTTTAGTATTTCATAAGAATATGGTGGTGCTATTAAATGCAAAGGGTCTAATATCAAATATCAATGCTCATAGTAAGAATGATATAAATATATAAGTTGTATATACATGATATTAAGGAAACTGTTTAATTATTTTCAAAAAAAATTCTTTTTTTTGTAATAGAAATGCGCAAATAGAAGAAATCTTACTAATGTAAGTTGCAAAAGACAATCAATTGTTTAATGTAAAGACAAAAAGAAACAATGATTAACTAAATAACAAACTTAGGAAGTTTTTTTTTTAATTTAGAAGTTACATTTAGAAGATAAGAAGATGAATTTAAATATGAATCCTTGTAAGATTGAAAGATTGTAATTATAACTGTCATCTGCTGTAACTTTTTTCTTTTTTTAATAATAAAGTTTGGGGGGGGAAAAGAAATATAGCCCACAGCACCTGGTGTTCATTGGTGGCCCCCTATCCAAGTACTAACCATGGCTAACCATGTAGTTTCCAAGAAGAGACAGGATCGGATGCCAGCTTAACTTCCAAGGAAAGACAGGATCTGGTGTCTAAATCCCCATCCCATCAATCAAGACAGGAATTGCAATCTTCTTCCCTACAAACAAACCCAATAATAATAATAATAATTAATAATTTGTATATCCCGCCTCTCCCAATGGTCTTGATATAATTCATCTTCTTCATCCAACAAATCATCTGGAGACTTTTTCATCTTTCACAGAGATCCTGCTGCAGATCCTGTTCTAAGACCTCTGTCTGGGGTACCTCTTTATTGCCACCTTAACAGCTGGCACATCATCACTAGCAATATCAATATATTAACCATTTTGTATCTGTGTTACATTGTAGTTTGTTTCACTCCACTAACATTTCTGTCTGGAGTTCTGCTACAGAAGGGTTTGAAAGTTTGCTTCCAACAGAAATAGGAATTAATTGGGTATATCTCCTAGTTTTTCACAATGGCAAAGCAAGGTGAGGGCCTTCTTTCCATAATGTGTCACCAAGATGTCAATCATTGCATCATCCCAGAGATATTCTGGATGGTCCCGCTTCAGCCAGTTCTGCTGTTGCTTTGCATTGCAGCCATAGATCTGAAGGACGCATACTTCCCATCACCGTCTGTCCACAGCAATCACAAGTTTTTCTACACTGCAATGGGACATCATTTTTAAATACAAGGTTCTGCCTTTGGCTTTTTGGCTGCCCTGCATGACAAGGGACATTGCACTACACAGAACCAAGTTAGGAAGACCACGCTCTATGGTTGCTTTTCTCTTCTTGGGATTTTCCATTCCTCTGGCCATGCTGTGCTGAGCTGACAAGCCTTTCTCTCAACAACCTGCATGTTGTGGTTAGCTTGCTTCACTTATTATTGGACAAAGAATAATGTTAACTTCCAAATCCTTTATAAACTCCCTTTTGAGTGGCAGGTCATAGTGCAAATATATATATTACAGTGATCATTGAAGGAAACTGGAATAGCATTCTTTCAATGCACGGAACAAGTCTTGAATTTGCTTGCACCAGGTCCTGGTATTGGCAAGCAGTTTGTGGGTAGAATGCTCTGTACTGGAGCCGACCTGTCCCAGGAAGTTTATATAAAGCTCCCAGCTAATAGGAAGGCTGGGCTGAAAGCCAACCAAGCTCTGAGAAATTCCTGAGGAAACAGGAGAAGGTTTTCTAGTGATTTCAAAGCATCTTCCAGTGGCTGAGGCCTCCTTGCACTTGTACTAGAGATCTAGATGGAGTTCGGTCTCATGCAATCTGGGTAGGAAACAGCATCTAGTTGGGCTGAACCTGGATTGCATTTTTTGAAGGCGATCCTGATATTGTTGATGTGTTCATATTGTATGGCACTTTGTGTTTTATTTTTGTTTTTTTTAAAAAAAACACTCTCAAGAAGGAATACAGTAGACACATTTAAATATGTTTTTAAAAAACCACTCTCAAGAAGGAATCCTATGTTTCTGAGTCGAGTACTAATGTGTATATTCTATACTTCAAGCTTCTTTTAGCTGACTTGCTTTGATCACTGTCATTATATTTTATAAATATACGATTCAGGCAGGGCACCCCAGGATGCCCCATTCAGTAATGAGGAAATGATGGCAGTGGCAGCTGGAAGCCCCAGGTGTGTGCCTGTGAAAGAGGGAGGCAGTTTAGAGACTCCAGCTCTGTAATCTGGGTTTTACTGAAGAGATTGTTACTGATAGCCCTGGGATTTGGCATCTATATAAGTACACAAGCCGTGCTCCATTTAAGCTGGGGGGTTCACGTCAGTTCATTTGCCTTGGAAAGGGGCAGGCAGCATCCTGCCTTTGCTGGCCTTTATCCCAGCCGCCTTACGTTGGGCAATCTTCAAACTGTGGCATTTTCTTTCATGCAGAGGCAAAAACTTCCAACCTGGCAAAGGGAATAGGAATATAAGAATTGCCGTGCTGGTAGTCTGTTCTCAGTGGTGGGCTAGTTGGAGTCCTTTCATGTTGGTTTATTGCCAGGTTGATGTATTCTTAAGCTACTTGCTTTTTTGCTTGGAGATTCTCTGTAGCGCCCTTGGCTAAGAACCATTGGTAGCTCTTGGTCTTGAATTTGCCTTGTTCATTGGGAAAGCCATCCATCTAGGAGACTTCACTTCATACGACAGTCATGAATTGCACAAGTTCATTGCTGTCTTCTATCAGTTATGAACATGCTGGAGATGACTGCCTCAAGTTTTGGTATGCGTTAGAGCGTAGTATAGTGGTTTAAGCATTGGACTAGGACTCTGATGACCAGGGTTCAAATCCCTGCTCAGACATGGAAACCCACTAGGTGACCTTGAGCAAGTCAGAGGAGGGCAAAGGCAACCTCCATCTGAATAAAACTGTCCAAGAAAACTCTGTGATAGATTTACCTTAGGGTTCTCTATAAATCAGAAACAACTTGAAGGCCACAACAACAACATGTGTTACAACCAAAGATCTCTCCATAATGTTCATTATTTTATAACTCTTTTATCACCCCACGGCCCCATCTTTGCTGTCCAGATTTAATAAACTGACCTTCCTCAGCATAGTGCCCTTTAATTGTGTTGAGGATGAGGGGAATTGTAGTCTTACACATGTGGAAGACACCAGATTAGGAAGGAAGGACGTCTAAACCAAACTGCTCCAAAGGCTTTAAACCTTTTCTGGAGGCTGGGAATGGAAAATCTTCCATTGATTTGTGTTTTCTCTTTTCGATAGAAAAGAACATCCAATTCGAGAATTATACTTTTTGAGATGGTATGACCAGAATTGTATGTGGTATTCTAAGATTATTTACAGTGGTTTTGGTTTTGGTTTAAAATATAAAGCTGTTTTGAAAGGTGGGAAAGTAGAGGCTTGGGAGGCATTTTCAAGAATTTGAAAAGTTACAGTTCCTGGTTAAGTGAGTATGCTCAGTAGAAAAAAGGAATGCAGAATGGTAACTACCAGGACATGGAATGAAGTAACTTTGCTGAACATGGTAGAACTAGAAAGAGGGGTGAAATAGCTAGAGGCCAACACAGACCAATCATTTTGCAACTGTATTCCTGGGCGCCCTGGAGTCTTCCAGAATCTGTTTATGGATTTCGTAATGGGATCAAATCCATTTGCTGTCGGACAAAGCTGTGCATACCATGTGGTGTTTTACGTTATTTGTTGTTATTAACTGCCCTCAAGTTGACTTCAACACATGGTGGCCCTGTGAATGAGATTTTTCCAAGACCCCATAGGTTCCCTAAACTAGCCTGCTGTCTCAGGTGCGGTGGAAGATGCTGTCCCATTGCAAGTGTTTCAGTTGTTAGATCCATTGAGTTCTGTACACGGGTGCCATCTTTTCTTCCACCTTAGGCAGAAAAAATGTTTTGGCCCAGACTTGAGTGAGCATCATGTCGTGTGGTGTGATGGTGTTTTGTCTTGAACGTTGTGGGAATGATGTAGCTCTCCAGATGTCTTTGGACTGCAGCTTGCAGCATTCCTTATGATTGACTATGCCAGCTAAGGCTGCTGGGAATTGCAGCCCAAAAGCATCTGGAGCATGGCGTGATTCCCAGCCCTGTTTCTAGAAAGAATCTGCAAAACACAGTAGCTATGTAGAGATTTCTTGCAGGGTTGGCTCATTTAAAGCTTGGTTTAAACCAAAATACTTTTTTTAAAAAAAACCACTCTAAAATGGATTGTCCATATGTATTTTTTTTTAAAGTCTGGCTATTATTACTATTTTCCAACCCTCCTTCTGGAACAACAATGACATTTTGAATTTAAATATTTTAACTTTAACAGTTTCTTGGCACTTGTTCATTGTTAGACCAGTATCCAGTGTCAGTTGCTTCTTTTTAATCACTTTAAAAGGGGGGGAGGGAATTAGACTGTGTTGTATTTTATATTGTATTTTTTATTGTTGTTAGCTGCCCCAATTGATCTCAAAGGGATGGGATATAAATAATTTATTATTATTATTATTATTATTATTATTATTATTATTATTATTATTTTATGGTGCAAAAAATGTGATTCAGAAACAAATCTTTTAATTAACGTAACTTCAAGCAAAACAACTTGCTTTAAAAGAGCATGTTTAAAAAAACAATTAATAATTAAGCTAGCAGCTGTAACATTTGAGCTGGATTTTGATATTTTCTTATTTAAGTCCTATATTGTTGTTGTCCTATATGCCTATATAAAGGCTACCAACTTTTCAATATAATTCCCAAAATGTTGTTAAAAGATGTGAATCATATCAGAGCCTAATCACTTTAGATTGTTAATGTTAGAAAGCATTAGAACATGGTTGATCAAGCTTTCTAATACATAAAATAATGTTTCATAGAATTAATGTAATAAGCAGGATTCATTTTTTTACAATATTAATGCAAAAAAACTGATTTAAATACACAAAACACACATACCAAACCCTAGTGTTGTTTTTTTAAAAAAAACTCCCCCCCCCAACCCTGGTTCCTTGCCAGACAAAAGAAGGTCTGTTAATCTGGAAAATTTTAACTGTGAAGAGCTGCCCTTACTAGTGGAACTATCATTTCTCTTCTGTGTTACTCCCTAAACAAGATTTTCAGGCCCTTCCACACTATACTATGATTCCACTTTAACTGCATGACCGCATTTTATGGAATTCTGGGGTTCCTATTCAAAGGTATAGCTGTGTTAGTCTATAGAATCAATATGTAGAGAGATCTTGTAGCACCTTTGAATAAAGACGTTGGCAGCATGAGCTTTCCTAGACTTCAGTCTACTTCCTTAGATCCATTTGGTGGAATGGAGCTCTGGGGTTCCTAGTTAAGGGAGCCACTGGAGAAGCTCTTTGGCTAAAAATTCTAAATGCCCCTCCATAAACTTCAACTCCCAAGATCCGATAAGATGGGAACATGGCAGTTAAGGTAGAATCATGGCACTATAATTGTGTAGTGTGAAAGGGCCCTTAATCTGGTGTCTCCACTTGGAGCTTTCCACCTTGGGTGACCCTACTAGGAATCTAGACTTCACAGTCTACTCTTCTGAGACTATTATTGTCAGTGTCCCTGGCAAAAATCAAGCCCTCTCACTATGTAAAGATGTGCACGTGTGTGAGAGAGGGGTTCTAGAACTAAAAATAGATAGATAAATAAATAAAAATCTTTAAATGCCATTTATTTGCACGGTGGATTAAATTAGGACATTTCATGCACTATAAAAACAACAACACTGCATTGGAAAGAAGCTCTTGTGTTAATATATAACCAAACCTGTACAACTTTCCTTTCCTAATCCAACTGTTCAGTCTTAACCACTCTTCCAGACTCCTGTGTTGTACTTTTATGGAACTCACGTTGCATGGTTTCCCCCCATAATCATCTGGGTAGAATTTGGATTTTTAATGATTTATTTTTTTTATACAACTTCAACCTAGCCTTAGGCCAAAGAAACGCATATTCAAGTGCCTGCTAAATTGAATTAAATGAAGGGACGGGGTGGAGAGAAAGGAAGGACTGCTTTTAATGCATGCAGGGAGAGCAGAATAGCTTGCCATTTGTGTGCCTGGCAGGGCATGGCTTCTAATTGAGGCCAAACAGCTGGAAATCCCTTTTGTACTTCCATGTTCCCATCTCTGACATGATAATTAAACCCCTGAGACACACAAACCGTTCAGACTGGTAATGCTCTTTACTTTGACTGTCTATGTCGGGTCAGGAAAATTAAAGCAAGCATAGAAATACGTCTATGGTGGGAGGGGTGTTTTTGTTTGAATAATATTCTGATTTAGAAAGGCCATTTAGCTAACAAAATACCTATCATTACAATGCATAGGGAGGGAGGTTTTGCACGGATTCTTAGGAGGAGGTGCCTCTGCATGGTCGCTACCCCTTCCAACCAAAGCTCCCTTTCAGCTTTTCAGAAGTGCTCAAGGAAAAGGATAGGAGGCATGTTTTGTCCTTACCTTTCAGGGGTCTCCAGATGCAAAGCTTTCAAGCACTAGCAGCATCCGTTCCTTTACATCAGTGATTTCCAAACTTTGATCCTCCAGATGTTTTGGACTTCAGCTCCCAGAAGCCCAAGCCAACTTGGTCAACAGTCAGGAATTCTGGGAGATGAAGTCCCAAACATCTGGAGGATGAAAGTTTGGGAACCACTGATTTACATGGATGAATGTAGAGGGGTGCATGAGAAGCAAACATGGCTGGAAAACAATTTTAGATCCTGTTCTGGGAGATTCTAGCCATTGAGAATCAAACTGGTTGCTAGTTATGAAGCATCACTTCTCTATTTATATAGTATTAGGCGTATTAAATTTGAATGTGACAGAATGTTGGGAGATAAGTTCTTTATCCCCTCTTTTCTACCTTTGTCTTCCTTTTAATCTTCTTAATTTCCTGCTTACATAACTGAAGACAGACATCTGGATTTTCTGTGATAATTCCCATAATTTCTACTCATAGCCGTACTCTCGAGACCAATGAGAGTGATTCTAAAACATCTGGAGGGTACCACATAGCCTACCTTTGGAGCAGGCTAGGGATGGGCAATCTTAAATTTGGTCCTACCAGAGTTCCCCAAATAGTTACCCTGCTTCACCTTGGAGTTTATCATATGGGGGAAAATTGGAAGTATAAATGGTGATTAACCCGTGATTAACCTGCAATTGCAGAAATGGTTTTCACACACAAGGTGCTGTTATCTCATGCAGAATCCATGAATAAGCTGCACTTGCACACAAATGCGTGAATGGTTTTCACACGTCATTGGGACGAGACGTGATTAAAGTGCCATTATGAAGAACCAGGCAAGAAACAAAAGTAACTCATTCACAGAATTTCCCCGTGAATGACTTTTTGCTGTTTCTTGCCTGGTTATTCCCTGGTTCTTCACGGGATAATGGCACTTGTGTTAATGTCATTTTAAGCATGTTTTAATGTCAATTGGCTATTGTCATGGGTTGATCATTGTTTAAACTCCCAGTTTCTTCCGTGTGATGAACTCCCATGACACCATCATTTGGTGATCTCCCTGCTTTTATATGCATGTTTTTCCCCCATTCTAAAAGGTTGAAACGCCTCTAGTTGCTAACAATAAGAGCTTTCAGCTAATATGTGCTGGTGTTTTTGGTGTCATATTTTTGCTTGTGGTCCCAGGAATGTGACCCACAAGAACTTCTCTGAAATTGAATTTATCCCTCAAGGTGGAAGAGGTTTCCCACCCTTGGAATAGACAGTACCAGGGCTAGGTGGACAAGAGGTTTAACTTGATAGAAGCCTGTGTTCATAAACCTGGCTTAAGTCTTGTTCTGTTTGTGCACTGAAGGCTTCTATAGCTTGAATATGATGACCTTAAAGACAAAATATGGATCGTCTTGCTAGAAAGATGTGCTAACTGACCTTTGCTTCTGAGATATGTTAGTGGAAATGTTTGTATGATTAAGCCTGGCTGTAATGACCTTCTTGGGGAAGGAGACTTTCTGCAGACAGTGGCTGGTGACCCTGCCCAAGTCCCAGTATCTTATCTCATACTTTTCATTTCCCAGGGCTATAAATACATGCAAGCCTGCCTGTGCTTTTCTTTTTTAACTGGAGGCAACCCCATAAGCTCTCTTCTGCAGGTCTGTTCAAGCTGGGACGTGAGGGAATTCCTAAGAGGATTACTGTGGCTTACTCAATATAGGTCTTGAACTTGAGTTGTAGCTGCAAGATATGGAAATGAAAATTGCGTAACCTGGGGTGGGAGAAGACCTTCTTGTTGGTGTAAGGTTTGGGAGTGTGAGTGTGGGAAGTAACCTTGGGTATCAGGGTAGCTTGACATTTCAATGTTTTGTGGGGGCATTGATTAAAAATGTCAACCTGGCCTGTTCATAAGAATCTTTACAATAAGTTTTTGCGTCTGTGTATTTGACTAGGAGTGACTTCCATCTGGACTACACAAATCTCTTAAGATCATCCCAGTGGTCCATTTCAATTACAAACGGATGCATTAGGCTTGTTTCTATGCTGCTTCATGTGGTGTTGTAAAGTGCTACCATTGGTTGCTGTGAAGCAGTAGCAGCACATGACAGTATGAAGCACAAGCAATAACCATTATTGCTAGATGTCCTTCAAGTTGCCCTGTTCCTGTGTCTCTATTGGGGGTACAGTTGAAGACTGTTGACTATCAGATCTGGCTTCTGCCAAGTTCAGGGCAGGGAGCCATTCTTCTGGATGGAACAAGGCAGTTACGTTGCAAGGAGGGGAAAAAACGGCAGAGTCCCTTCGTTTCAAATATGTGAAGATCAGAAACATTATAGGGAATGGACAGTACCATATAACCAACAGTAGCACATTATTCTATAAGAAGCTTCTTGCACTTGCCTTATTTGAGCAGAGTTTGATCGGAGCGCACAACCTAGACTCCTTGTCTAACATTTCTTAAGTTGTCCTGCTTATGAGTTCAAGTCTTGACATTTAAGTACCTATTGGGAGTCCAGTTGGATAGGTAAGGGAGAAAGATGTATTTATTGCATATACAGTGTTGCTGCAGCTACATTGGTGTTGTTACCCTTTTGTGGACTACAGATTTGATTTCTTCAAAGAAAGAAGTGTGGTCTTCTGATGATGATTCTGATGATTGCTACTGGTGCAGATTTACCTTCTGTTGTATTTATTGCTCAGTGTTTGTTTTTATTTCATGTGACTACTGGTAATTGCAAAGCTTTTCTTCCTTTTCTTGTACCTTTTAAAGATGTTGCACAATATTGTTACAAAATTGGTAATCAGTTACAATTTGTAATAAAGAATATGGTCCGGCAAAGAGAGTGGGGTCTTAAAATAACTGGAATGCTCCTCTCTTTTTCTTATGTAGGTGGTTGTTGGTGTGTGTGCCTTCAAGTCGTTTCTGTCTTATAGCAAACCTCAGGCAAATCTATCATGGGGGTGTTTTGTTGGCAAGATTAGTTCAGAAGGGGTTTGCCCTGGCCTTTGAGGTTGAGAGAGTGTGACTTGCCCAAGGTCACCCAGTGGGTTCCCATGGCTGCGTGGGGATTTTAACCCTGTTCTCCAGATTCGTAGTCTAACGCTTGACCCACTATACCATGTTGACTCTTTTTATAGGTTATCAATCTCTTTTCCCACTGTATGTATGCAATTTTCTCTGGTTAGCTATTAAGTTTGTTTTAGCTATTGGTCTTTTTCAATTTTTATTCTGAACTAGACTCTGAGATTGTTCTCTCCTACCGCCTTCTCTAGTCCAAGGCTTCCGACACCTGCCTCCTCCGTGGCACATGGAATGGATTTTTCTTTTACAAGTTCTTGCTGTCGCAGGTCGTGACAATCACAAGGCAGACTTGGGTGGCTTTGTGCTGTTCTTCAGAAAGAGAGAAGGGAGGAGGGATTCGAGGAGGCTAGGAGGATGAAAAGCTCTGTGGACAGTTTTGTGCTTGGCAGGCTGACAGCATTTATTAGAGGTAACCTTCAGGAAATGCCACACACAGACCTTAGCTTGGGGCCCATGCAACGTTTTTTACTACACTCTCTGAAGGTTTGCAGCATGCAACAGGAGTTCTGCCTCTCCCCTGCTCCATTTCATTTCTGTTCCCTAGGCTTTTGGATCAGTTTTTAGCCTTCTTTTCTCCCTTTCCATCCCTCCTGCTTTGGTATGGAACTTTTGTCATAACTAAAAAGGGGAGCCTTGTTCAGGAAGAAACATTGGGCTACTTCGTCCTCCTGGAGGACGTGAACAGTCGGTTTCCATTTACTGGTGGTGTGGAGTCGGTAGTAATGGTCCACAATGCAGGGAGCTAAGGTTGTGGGTACACTGTTGTACTTTTGACCACGTACTGCCATCTTACCTCTGCATGTGTTCTTCTGCACTTCTATCTCAGGCTTAGGGAACTAGCGACCCACAAGATGTGCTTGGGCTGCGACTTACAGGGGTTCTTCATTCATTTACCAACGGTTCTGCATTTCATTGGCCCATATGGTGTGCCTCAGGTTGCCCTCCACACACACTATTACAGGTATTGTGTTTTTGTGGATTATTATTCTTTAATTGTCATCATGTGGACTGTTAAAGCTGATTCTGGTGCTCCTATGTAAACGATCTAAGATGCCCTTTGTTTTTCTTGGGCATCTTCAAGTTGTTTCCATCTTATGGAGACCCTAAGGCGAACCTATCATGCAGTTCTCTTGGCGAGTTTCTTTAGAGGAAGTTTGCCATTGCCTTCCAATGATGCCGGAGAACATGTGACTTGCCCAAGCTTACCCAGTGGGTTTCATGGCTATGCTGGGAATCGAACCCTGGTCTACAGAGTTGAAGTCCAACACTCAGACCAGTGTGCCACGTTGGCCCTAGCCCTGGGGTATTCTTAGTGGGAAAACATTCCTGCACACTAAGACCTGGTTCAAGTCCCTGTACTCGAAAATCCTGACTAGACCAGCAGTGAAAAAAGAGCAAGGTATTTTTCATAATGGCTCATTCCCATTGGAATCTCCTTCCTAACAAGTCAAAGAACCTTTCTCCCTCTGGCAGTCTTGAAGGAAAGTCAGGTCTCTTCTGATTATCCATTGTGAGTTTGCTACTGTTGCTTTTGTTATCGGTTTTCAGCTTCTAATGAATATTTTAATCTTCATTCATTATGGCAACAATTTGTTGGGATGGGCATGCGCCAGAGCTTGTAGCATCATTTTCAGCTCCTTCAGACCCTCAACAGGCTACATAAACAACATTTATTTATAACACCCTTTCCACCAAAGGGCGGAACATCAAACATTCATAATCAAAACTGGACGATAAAACACAACAGTATAAAATACTAAAATAATATACTAATATGCTAAAAGCATACTCATACTGTGGCATACCTGTGTAGTGACTGGAAGTTTGCTTTTTTTCTTTGCTTGTTTCTTGGGGGTGGGGAGCAGCATCTATGTTTTAATATTAATAATGTTTAATTATTTTTCAACTTTTTAAATTAACATTTTTACTCCAGTCTTTTAAAATTATTCTGTCTTCTTAAATAATTGTAACCCGCCTTGTGGGAGAAACTGCCAGATTCGCTGTGAACGTAGCTAAAGTTAGATTAGAGTTTGAGGATAAAGGCCTGCATGAGAATCTGCAATAAATAGATTATGCTAATTTAAATGGGTTACATAACCTTGTGCTGTGTATCGTATCAAACATTTTTGTAATTTTAGTGTAAGCATTTTGCTTGATATGTTGTCAAGCCAACTGTGACTGGAAAAGTTTTCAAAGGTTTCAATCATTTTTGTAATCTGATGGCTGTAACCTGTATATGGTTGTCATGAATAAACTGTACCTTGTGGGAGAAAGGCGGGATATAAATCCTTGGGGGGAAATAAATAAATAATCAAATACGGGTCTAAACAGGATTCTTGGAAACCATTTATTTTTATTTTTTTGGCCAGAAAAACAGTTTCTACTGCCAGTTTTTTAAAAAATTCCAGGTTACAGGGTGGAGTGGACAAAGGCATGCATAGAACCCCAAGGGTACATGTCACCTGCAGTATTACCACCTCTAGTTTAACTGAAAGAGGAAAATGTCCCAAGATGGATTCCATGTTTCTTGCATGTCTTTACCTGACATTACAGGAAAAGAGATTCCACTAAATATTAGGAGGAACTTCCTGACAATAAGAGCTGTTTGACAGTGGAACACATTTCCTTGGAGTTTGGTGGAGTCTCCTTCTTTGGAGTTCTTTAAACAGAGGCTGGATGGCCATAGAGAAGGCTTTGATGGTGAGTTCCAGTATGGCAGAATGGGGTTAGACTAGATGGCCCTTGGGGTCTCCTCCAACTCTATCATTCTATGATTCTATGACCATAACAGTCTGTTGACAGTAAACCAGGCCCAGTTAGTTGAAAAGGAAAAAGATCAAAAGGTGACAAAGTGGCCCCCTGCTTTTGCACCATTTGTAGAAGGGCTGAACATGTCCTTTTGCTCCCCCCGTAAGCGTCTTTGGCTGTGGAGTGCTTGGAAAATCCATGGAGTGGCACTTCAGAAAGCCTACTCAATTATATATAATATTTATTTCATGAGGTGAACTGTGAATGAACAACTAGATGGAGGAAGGGAGAGCCTGGAGGGGGGTGGGAAGAAGAGGAGCAGGCTGCCTCAGAATGAAACTCCTGCTTTCTTGATTTACACACAGGCCCGGAATATACATTCAAATGGAAGGAAGCCCATGCTTCCCTGTTTTGGTGGCTTTAATTTCCACGGTGGTGCTCCGAACGGTCTCTCAAGTGTCTAGCTGTCAACCCGAAAAGCTTGTAAGGGGCAACGGGTTGGTGGTAGGGGGAGATGAAGAGGAGGGGGATGACTTCTGGTCTCCATGGAAACTCACTAGAGGACAAATGGATCAATGCGGCTGCTGTTCACTGTCTGAAGCAGGTCTGGCTAAACCCTAGGACTGTCTCTTGTTGACAGGCCCTGCTGAGGGAGCCATTAAGGCCAGAGCACCTCAGGGCGAAAACGCTCATGTTTCACTATGTTCCAGGAGTCGCAGATGCTTGACGTTTCCTATAATGGTGTTAGCTAGAAGTATCTTTAGTGGGTAGTTCTCCCCCTGCTCTGTTTTTTTTTTTGGGGGGGGGGCTCAGGCTTCTGAGATATCCTATATGCATTTAAAGGAAAAGAACGTTCCTGTTTACTGCCTTATCTCACAGAGCATGTTGGCTAGGGCATCTGGGAGTTGTACTCCAACAAAGTAACTTCTCCAGGCTCCAGAACACAGCAACGGAGCAGCTGTTGTCCTGTGGCTGCTTTGGCATCTGCTTTCTGAGGAACCCAGAGTATCCTTCCCGAGAAGATTAATATCAGCAGAAAAAAACTTTTCTATGAAACAATAATTTTTTCCTGCAATTTGAAGCTAGAACAGGGGTTGCAGTCTGATAGGGTTCCTTGTTAACAAAATCCTTGTTAAGCAGCCATCTTGCTCCAGAACCACACACCTGTGGAAATTCCCTCTTCTTCACAACCATTAAAAGTACAGAAGCCCTTTCTAAGGGGTCATTTAGATGTTGTAAATAATCCTGGTAGAACATGGGTTGAGTTGTTCAGATGAAGTTCAAATGCATCTGATTAAGTTTTTCGGGGGTGCTGCCAAAAAACCCACAAAACCCGGACAATTAATCTTGGAGGGTTTTGAGTTTTCCTGAAAGATTCACATTGTCAACTGTATTAATCAATGTGAATACACCCGGGATAAACCAGGATAAAACTCTGCATGCCTTGAATGTGTTTAGAATACGTCTGCATCATCAACGCCATCTTTATTTGCAACACTGACATGTGTGAGCAACAGAACTTGCAGAGATGTGCATAGATGCGGTTCCGATTTTAAAAAAAAATTGCGTGAACAACAAATCAGGAATGCATGAGTGAGATTATCTGCATGGTTACATTGCAAAACGAAACGTGTAGATGCCCCCCAATATTTCACTCTGGCAACCTTAGTCTCTAACCCTCATGATCTCTCACTGTTAGCTAAACTGGTTAGTGTGAAGTCAAAGGCTTTCACGGCTGGCATCCATAGTTTTCTATGGGTTTTCTGGGCTGTGTGGCTGGATTCTGGAAGAGTTTATTCCTGACGTTTTGCCTGCATCTGTGGCTGGCATCTTCAAAGGGTGGTAGCATGGGAGTTTGTGGGTTATATATACTTGTGTGACCCTTGGTTGGGAGGAAGTGATTTACATGCTAATCTGTGTGTTGGTCTGCTGTTGAATGGCAAGGCCTCAGGGTGGGAGAATATGCAGGAGGATCTGTGTGCCTATTGAATTGGCAATCCATTGTCAGTTAACAACATCAACAAATGTTGATCATTTGGAGGTTTTGTTTCTTCATCAGTTTCCCTTATTGTTGATAAGCATTGTTGACCAAAAACATCTGGAAGACCACAGTTGTCAATACTTAAGGGGACAGTTGGGCCCCTTCAATAGTTTCTTACAATTAGCCATGCTGACTGAGATTTCTGAGAACTGAAATCCAAAAATCTGGAGGGCTGTTTCCTTACCCCATTTCAGACTGTACTGTCAGAACTTGTGAGGCAGCAGTGAGACCTGGCTGCAAGTTGTGTTGATTTATTGTATTTGTGCCCAGCCCTTTCTCCCAGAAACTTGGGACTGTTTATGCCATTTTTCTTCTACTTTTAGAGTAAGTAGACACTGACCTTCATAGCCAAATGGGGATTTGGATTCTAATAGCTCACGTCCTAATCTTATATTCTAGTTGCTTCTGTGGACTATACCATGCGTGTATTTCAGTATTTTGCATAGACTGAGTTTCTGCTTCAGCATTTGCGCTATTTTGTGGCGGGTGAAATCAGTGTGAACAGTGTTCCTTCTCAGATTTGAAAATCTTTGTTTCTAGAAATGAGGAAACTACAGTGGGTAGGTCAGGGGTGTGCTTTCTTCCTTGTAACTGACCTCTTGTGCTCAGGCAGCATTCTTTTTGGAAGAACCTGTGTTGCTACACTGTGTCCCTTCCTTTCACTGTGGCTCCCAGTGGAACAATAGATCCTCCTTTGACCCATGTTAATTTGGGTTGTAATGGTGCTGGTGACATCTCTAGCATACCTAAGGGAACATATTTGGGGGACTGTTTATTAGGATTAAGTACTGAGCAATTTTTACCACCTCATCTCCAGGGTGACCCTTGCTCCTCAAGTAGTCAGATCTTGTGGATTGTAACCTGTGCTTTAGCTAAGTAATTCTGGCCTATATGACTTTCATTTACCTATGAATACTTTAGCGTATTCCTGCCATTTTTGTTATCATCTTTCAGTGCTCTTACTATGCTTTCCCCTTCCCCCTTTTTAGGTGAAAACAGTAACGCCTGCAAGCTACACACAGTAACTCTCTGAAGGGATGCTATTATCCTTTCAGAATATAATAATATGACACCACTGTTGGTTTTGTTGTTGTTTTTTAAACTGGCAAGCTTGTCCTTCCCTCTAGGAATGGATCAATAGCAGGCCTTGTATCTGTGATCTGGAGGTAATTGCTGATGTCAGCCAATGTCAGGTGCCGTTTCTCTGTGCAGCTTTGGGTGGTTTGGCAGAACATTAAGGATCATAGACAATGTGTGAGACATTCTGTAAGAAAAAATATAAGGTTTGAAGGCCTGACGTGGGTAGGGGGTTTGCTTCCTTGGTCACATATGGGGAGAGAAGAAAGATGCAGTGTTGTCTTTTTAGAGATGGTTGTAAACTTTTATAAGTGAAGCACATAATTTCCAGAAAGAGTTTGCGTCAGGGAAATGGAAACTTGTCGATTGGCTGGCATTCTTAGGGCTGTGAGACCTGCCGATTGCGCGCATAAATAAACTGCAGA